GCTGTGTTATTGCCCGTCAGCTCAATGTGGAGCACAAGTGTGGTGTCTTTCTCTTCCACTATGTACCTTGTCAAGGCTTTAATATTCATAAAAGAATGTTAACATTAGATTAAGATGTGCTGGTCTTTAAAGAATACAGCTCTATACTTGTGGCCACATGGAATAATTGCTCTCCAGATACTCATTGGCAAGTCTAATTTTGAAATATCTGTACCTGAATTCCTATTCAAAGACCTTCTGAGAGACATAATATTTGCGGAGGTTTGATTCAGAAAGGCTAGGTCCTAAAATTTACTTACAGATTAAGGTAATAATCAAAAAGCTATCTCCCTGTTATTGAACTGGCATCATACTGAATTTACTTTCAGATGTTTAATTTTTTTCTTTACTTCCCTGTACTTCAGGTTATATTGAGAGGTGTTATAAGGAATGATTCTCTGAATGAGCACTGTGAGTGTTGTACAGTTACTGTTGAGATGTTCCTTACAGCTCACAGTGGTTCACTGGGCTGATTCACAGTAGAAACGTTGTTCCGCTCTGAGTAACAGGATCAGGGCACTAAGAAATGTAAGTGTCAACTTTATGAGCATGGAATGAATAACTAATCCTGTTTCTCTCTGTGTACTGGCTGCTACAAATATCAGAACTAAATTTTTACCAAGCTCTAGAATTAGTTAGAAACCATGACATAAATTTTATGTTCTAACCTCACCAATGACTGCATCCTACTCTGCTTACCTTATCTTTTGCCTCCAATTTCTCCTATTTACCTTGGTGTACTAACTACTTCTTTATAAGCCTCTTTAAATCCTTTCCGATGTAAAACAGAATGTTTAATAATAAATGGTGTTTGAATGTATTGTCTTTCCATTTTACAAAGGCTTTCTCCAAACAACGACTAAGCCAGAGGCAAGGGGCTAATACTGTCATAGTTTGGGATCTTTGGGAAGCACACACTGAAATGAGATGGAGTTTATAGTGCAGGGTATTTATTAGGAAATGCCTTTGTGATAAATCTCTGGAGAAGGAAGAAGAATGAGATGGGATTGAACAGAGCAAGAATTTCAGCTGTAGAGCTGTTCAACAGCTTCAGCTGTTCTGGAGCCAAAATGGCTCATCAGAGTTATCCTACTTTAGGCTGAAAGGGAAGGGCCTTTATACCCCCTGCATCAATCAGTCCTCAGATATTGGTTGCTTTAGGACAAGTCTGACTTTGGGTAAAGTGGCTTTCTATAGCTGAGGTGATCCCTGAACGGTCTGATCATTAAATGCTATAAAAGCAAACCCAGCAGCTAGAAAAGCAAACCCATCCCTGAAAAGGGAAGTGTGCCACCCCATCTATCACAAATACTCCAGGTAAGCCAGATAAGCTGAGGAAATCAGAATACCCTGGAAAGTTAAATACCCTCAAGAAGGTATTTTGGCCATAGAATTATGTGCTAGTCAAATAATCTATTCTACCTAGAGAAAATCTAGAGTATATTTCCCTGAAAGGGCACAGGTGGAGGGAGAAACATTTCACACCTATATAGTGTGTGTGTGTGTGTGTGTGTGTGTGTGTGTGTGCGCGCGCGCACGCATGCGCTTAAAGGGGCTTAAAACAATATACATTTATTATCTCAGTTTCTGTCCAGGTATGTCCTAGCAGGATCCTCTGCCCACAGTCCTATAGGCTATAATCAATGTATGGTCAGGGCTTATTATTTTGTGCATATGTGTTTAATATACAGTAGGTATGAGTGTCTATTTTGTGATACACACAACCTAGACTTTAGACTTGGACTCGAAGTAGAAGCCATCTCTATCATATACTCAAGTGTGCAGCATTTACATTTCATGATTCCTATCATTACAGGATTGTACTAGGGAACTCAAGCTTCACAGCAAGTCTTCCAGCCTTGTACACTTTTACACTCATGAAAAAGAAACATTATGCTTAGTAAATTCTTTATCACATGATTTGAAACACTGGACATTTAGGTAGCTTTATCAGTGGTATATTATACATAGGCAATCAAAATTTAATCTTTTTACTGAGTCTATTTCTATGCCCTTGAAGTAAAACTCCAATTCGCCACATTCTTCAAATTTCATGAGTATATACATTGTGCAGCTAAGTTGATGAAAGCAAAACATGGAGATAAACACAACAGACCTGCAGACTATATACTGAAAGGTACTGCTATGCACAACTCAGTTTTCACTGTGTTCAATGCAAGCATGGTACAAGTGGTACGGGATATTTTTCATACCTAAATAATATTTTCCCTTGCAAATCATCAGTGTTTTATTTGTTTGTTTTTTGTTTGGTTGGTTGGTAGACTGGTTCAGGTTTTTTTGTTTTCATTTTTTTGTTGTGTTGGTCATCTTCTTGTTTTTCACTGGTAGGGACCTTAAGATCTTCTGGTTTGAGTCCTCCTCTTTCAAATGTGAAAACTAGAGTTTAGAGAGGCTTGATAATCACCCATTTCATGAAAGAAAACTCAGGATTGGAATCCAGGTTTTCCAACTCCTACTCTAGTGCTTTTTCTCCCCCATTGTTCACTGATATTAACAGCTCTAAGAAATCAATAGCACTGACAAATTTCCCATGCATAATATCTGTGTTGGCAAGATATCCTTTCTATTAGCCCCTTTCTAAAATGATTTTTTTTTAATATCCCTGGAGCACGCAGTTGCAACAATTAAAGATGAGCTTTGTTTTTACTAGCCAATGTGTGTGTTTGACATCAGTGATTAATACAGTCTTCTCTCACTTGCTATGTTTCTTTACCTTGGTGAATAAAGACTTGACAAATTGTTAGGCACAGAGCATATACTTCAAAACTATTGAGATATACCTGAGTAGCAGACAACCTAAGAAATATAAAGACTGAAGAGAGGGGCACATCAGCTTATTCTCATTCATCAAGAGAAAATGTAGCTTAAGTGGGGTTGACTTTTTGTGACATTTATTTAGTTCTTGAATTGACTGACAAGCCTATTAATGTATTCCCTGAACTTTATTAATGTAATTGGAAAACTGCCCACATGTCAATCAACTTCTAATAAGTAATTATGTTCATAAATACTGTAAAATTATTAGCTTTTAATTTGACCCAAACACATACTCTCAAAACTGTAACATGAATTTTATTTTTCTAGAAGAACAAAATACTCTAATAAAGCATTGAATATTGGCATTCCCACAATGCACTTCCTAAAATGGAATTTAAAAGTTCACCATTATCAAATGGCCAACAAAAAAGAATGCAATAGTAAGGCATGTAACAGTTTAAAAAAATCTGTATGATGTGAAACAGTCTATGTAGCATAAAGTTATGAAGCAATCCTATGAAAATTAAACATGTGCCTGGGCACAGCTCATATAGCCATAGTCTGGCTTAAAAATACAGTGCTACTATGGAACAAGAGAGAATGGAAAAAAAGAAAGAGGGATATGTTTAAATACATCACTTAAACCTATTAAGAACCAAAATGACTACATCTCCAGTGACTCAAATCTATTATTACCCAAGTATACTTTTTTCTCATGTAATAAAAATCTTTTGCAGTCCTTGAGGTAGAAATTTAAGTCAAAGGGCACAGAAATAAACAAGAGAACAAGATTGGGCTTAGATAACAGTAGAAATGTGTTTTTGACTTGTAATCCCATGCTGGTTTCTGAAGCTGGACCAATTCCTGCCCTCTAGCATCTCTGGATAATCTCTGAATAAAGATAGACTTTGGTGTAAACTTTATTCTATTCTCATATGATTTTAAATAAAGAACATCGCCACCGCGTGCAATGTTCTGTAATAAGAAAAACCATTGAGGAAATTTACAGACTTGTTTGCCTTATATTTGCCTCCTGAAAGTTAATTATTTAACTAATACGTTTAACCTTTATCACAAATTTAAAATACTTACTAATAATTGAAGTTGTATTTGAATTCAGGTTTACTTCTTTATATGAGGAAATAAAGTTCCAGATGTAAGTTAATAAAGTTCCAGATATAAGCCATGTACCTAAATTAATAGTTACAGTTGAATATTTGAAGGATAAACGGAGAGATAACACAACTAACTTGCTCACTCAGCTTTCCTATTAGGAATAAAACATGCACTCACTGGCACCACATTATCATATAATTTGTTATTAATTTTACTTAGAAATGCTGCAATGTCATTTTGAGATCCACAGCCTAATATTTCTATGCAACAAACACATGATTAATCTGTAAAGCACAAGGAAATAATGTAAAAGGGCAAGAATATACATTTTCTATTCTACTAGCATTATAATTGCATTTTTCTTGAAAAGTATTTATATTGGGGATAAATATGCTCTTACATTTTAGTATGCAGGAAAAATAAAATAGCTTGATGATTCAGTTTGTATTTGGAGACTGCAAGTTAGCTAGAATGATTTATGATCTTCTGAGAGTAAATCAAAGTATAAAGCATTGTGTACCATGTTTTTTCAATAATTCTATATTTAAATAAAGTAATTCTAGAAGTCTGTTTCTTTCCATTGTGACTTGAATTAATGTAGGCAGAATTTGGATTGAGACAGAGTGTTAGCAGTCTGGAGGATTAATTTTAAAGAGTTACTATATATGTGTGTGCATATATATATATATATATATATATATATAGTTTTTTTAAAGTTCTAATATTTTAATGTATCCATCATGAGTTATCAAAGATTAAGTTTAATGTATCAATCATGGGTTCTCAAAGATTTATTGACGAGGTGACTCAAAGGAAGATACTGAGTGAATCATACACAAAAAAATCATAATGTGGTGTTAATGGATAATTTTTGATCTTGGCAAGTCGGGATTTGTACATCTATAATAGCCATTACACTTAATGGAATCTAGGAAGATAAATCCCTGAAGATAATGACAACATATCTTTCAACAATGTCTGTTACTTCTGAGTCATTCTGATATCTAAATATTGAACCCTGTTTTAAGTACAGTCCTTCACAATATAGCAGTTACAGAAATGCGTACCTTGTACAGTTAGATGCACCTGCATTGTCCTTGGTGTATGTTGAGTCTGAACAGAACACGTGTACGGGCCATCGTCTGTCACATCTACATTCTGTATCTGGAGGCTGTAGTCTCTTTTATTCAATGTCGAAATTGAAACTCGAGGATCCACTGACCACTTATCACCTCCCGCAAAAATAATACTTGACCGGTTCAGCCAGGCACCCTTTGAAGCTCCATCTTCCAAATAACACCTACAAATTACCAGAGACAGAACACTATTAATCAAAATGAAAATGAAAGACAACGTTATCTTTGCTCCGAATGCATGTCCGTATGCTGAATTATAGTGCTGCATCAAATGCAAATATCAGACAGTAATGCAGAAGATACGAACATATGAATACACTGGTACATCTTCCATTCCCAATGTAAACGTGAAACAATACCTGCATACGGTTTTCTTTTGTTTTAAATGTGTGTGTGTGTGTGTGTGTGTGTGTGTGTGTGTGTGATGACATGCACATGTTTTAACTTGAAGCCAGTCAAAATCCTTTTTCATTCTCTCTGGATGATGAGTAAACTTAAATTAAGTTAAAATAGTTCAAGTAATAATTTTCAACATTGAAACATTTTTTTTCTTTGAAATTATAAGAAGTAGAAAAAAAGGTCCATGAGTTGGCCTGTTTTAACCAAATCCAATTCGAATATAATGCACTAGATACTAGAGAGAAAGCATAGAATAGTACCATATCATGTCAATTTTTTAAATTATGCATTTGCAGAGTGGTAAGCTTGTATTCTGAAACTATAAACTGCATTTTACTGATAATATTGCTCTTATAATTAAATGAGACAAGGCTTATATGGTATGTTTAGTAGCAAATTCTTGCTGTCTTTTCAATAAACTGACCATACATAGTCTTTCTAGGAAGCATTAATTTGTCCAAGAAACATTTACAAAGCATCTACCATTTAGGGATTTACACATGATATTACCCTTGCTCTCTAAAACTTTTAGTCTGGTAAGGAAGCTAATCAAGCAAATCAATCAATACTATATACAGAAAGAATATTTTATTAAATCAGGCACAAGTTACAAAAGAGTTACTTGACTCAGAAGGGGTATTGGGGGTATAGAGAAATGCTTTATGGAACAGGAAATGCCTGGAATAAAGGGTAAGGAACAGGAGACATGACATTTAGACAGAGGTCATATGTGGGTAACACCAGAGGAAGGTGAGAGAAAGTTATACATTTCAAGGAAGTACAAATACGCATGGGATATAGGGTAGGAGGGGTGAGAGATGAAATTGGAAAGGTAGACTAGAGCCAGATGATGATAGCAAGCCTGATGACAATTAGTGGATTTTCAGGCCAATTTTGATGCCATTTATTCAAAGTTGTATTCTACAACAAGATTCAAAAATAAAGCTTTGTATCTAATAGAAGTCAGACATCATGATTTACAACAGAAGGAAGCTGTGGTCATATATCAGTGAATTTGCTGAGGCCTGGAATTCTATGTTTCATCTTGAAAACGTTCTGATACAAATTAAACACTAGTTCTCTTAAATGAGTACAAAGCACAGCCACAGAATGAAAATACACATACATCGAAATAGTTTGACAGCATTTCTACAGAACACCTTGGGGGATTGAACACAGTGTTTGAGATTGCTACAAAATTGCAAGCTGAATGCAACAGGGTAGGCTGCTGCCAACTGTATAAAACTAATCAGTGGGTGAAAAAATAAGGAACAAGGTACACTGCAGAATCTAATTTGCAGGCAGTTTCACCATTTACAGAATCCAAACTAGTAAAGTCATAAAGGTCATTATTAATTGAAAAGCTTTTCCTTATGTAATTAATGAAGAAAATAAAACTCACCTTAATGACATAATTAAACAATTACGGTATATTGTCATTCTTAAGGATATGTAGAAAAAGGTAGAGGGGACATATTTCCCATTTCAAAAGATCACGTGTCTACATGTATTGGGTAGAACTGAATTACCACTACTAGGACTGTGATCATTACAATGCTTGTATTTAATATATGGGCTCATCAAGTGTTGATTGTGTGACCTCTGTATCCATGGCCTTCACACATTATCCTGTCTGGTGCTCATTACATACCCTGTGGGGTATGGATTGCTATGTCCAATTCATCACTAAAAGATAAATTCAATGTTTAGGTTAAATGACTTGCCCAAGCCACACTATTAGCAGGTGACAAAGTAGAATTCATAATCAAGTCTTATATTTCTATATTCAATGTCCTTTCCTCCTTAATGTAGATCAAAGACTTTTAAAATAGGTTTCAGAAATGGAAAGATGATCAGAATGTTGTAGAAATTACTGCAAGTAATTTCTTATTTACTAAATGTGATCAACTGCTTAACCTGTCCTATTCTAAAGGAAGCAGAAAATTAATTATTAATGGGTATTTTACCATGAAAGTCTGATTTAGAATACTCTGCCCGGCATTTTCCTTTTCCTTGAGGCAGGAACAGCTTTACTTTTATTTGGGGAGGTATCTGGAAGACCACAGAGATTAACTGGCCTTTAGATACTAAAACTTTCATAGACCAAATCTGGGTTATAACTCCTGGTCTTAGCATAAGCACTACTCCTCTGCTCTGGCATATCAGGGATCATCAAAGAACAGAATTCAACGTCTACACTGTGAAAAATGAAAAAGGAGCTTTTTATGTCTCCTTGCCTGGGTAACTATATTTTATAATTGTTATTGGTCCCAACCCAAAGCTTTTCAAGACATACATTAGGAAAACCCTTGAATGACACACACACACGCACACACACACAAAAACCAAAACAAAACAAAAATTTGGTATTAATTCCTTGGATTTCTGTGGAAATATTCTCAAATTACACTATTTAGCTAAAATTTAAATTACTAAAATTACCATAAGTGGAATTCTACAAATTGGGAAAGCAAGACCTAGGAATGGCATTCTATTTCATAAAATCATAAGATATTTATATAAAATATGTATAGTTTTAAGGTGAACTAGGAGATAATTATATCAAATATATGAAATTGGTCAAACACACACGTTTCCTTAAGAATTAGGACTGTGGGGGCGCCTGGGTGGCGCAGTCGGTTGAGCGTCCGACTTCAACCAGGTCACGATCTCGTGGTCCGTGAGTTCGAGCCCCGCGTCAGGCTCTGGGCTGATGGCTCAGAGCCTGGAGCCTGTTTCCGATTCTGTGTCTCCCTCTCTCTCTGCCCCTCCCCGTTCATGCTCTGTCTCTCTCTGTCCCAAAAATAAATAAAAGTTGAAAAAAAAATAAAAAAAAAAAAAAAAGAATTAGGACTGTGTATTCTTCCTTTTTAACATATCTTTGTTCTTCACACCCACTCTAGTTTTGTTTTGTTTTGTTTTTTTGTTTTCCTTTACAATAGAAGGAGATGCTGCCTGACATGTGCACACTGTATTAGGAAGAATTCTGAAAGGAAAGAAGATATTCCGGGTGCGGCAGAGTGGGGAAGGTATGTAAGGAGGGGTTAAAGAAGGATGAGAAGTGATGATAATTTAGTTTTGCACTCCTTGGACACCAAAAAACATTTTCTGTGTTAAGAATTCTAATGTCTAAAAATATAAACATGTTGGAATCCTGACCTGTACAAAATTTGAAACTTAGGTAGGATGATAAAGTATACTCATGAATAGCCATCATGCAGAATAGTAAATGAAGATATAATAATTAAATTGTTGTAATTGGATTATTACAATTGCCCAAGCATCTCTGGTTTCTACCCTTGACTCCTCTAGCATGGTGTATTCTTTGTACAGTAAACAAAAATGAACTTTTTAGAGTTTAAATGAGATCATCCATACCCCTTCCTATTTCATTCATATGAAAATTATAATCCTGACAGTGGTCATGGATCTTATGGAGTCTTGTCCCTTGATGCCTTCCTGACCTTACCAGCTGCCACTCTTCTCCAGGTTACTCTGTTCTAGACTGTGGTCCTCTAGCTGGGCTTCCAACAAGCCATGCATGCTATTGCCTCAGGAAGTTTGCATTTGCTGTTCTGTCTAGAACTCTCTTCCCCCAGATATCTGCATAACTTATTCCTATCTTCCTTAGGCCTTTACTCAAGTTCCTATTAAATAGAAAAATTAGGGGTGCCTGGGTGGCTCAGTTGGTTAAGCATCTGACTCTTAATTTCACTCCAGGTCATGATCTCAACGGTTTTTGGGACTGAGTCCCACTCGGTGCAGAGCCTGCCTAGGATTCTCTCTCTTCCCCTCTCTGCCCCTCTCCCTACTCTCAAAAATAAATTAATTTAAAACATAGCAAAAGTAACACCACTATTCCCAACACTCTCAAGAAAAGCATTATCTACTCAATTGATGGTTTATTTTCTGTTTCTCCCTGCTAGAAGTAACATCCAGGGCCTTTGTCTGGTCACTTCTATATATTCCAGGGGCCTACATATAATTGAAAATAAATATAAATATTTGTTGAATGGATGAATGAAGGCAAAAATTCAGATACTTTTAGAAGAAGAAATAATAATATGGTAAAGTGTATCAAAATTTCCCAAGTGCAACCTATTTGGGAAAGCAAAGTCATGCCCACATTAAGTTATGATAGCATATAATTAAATGCAAATATATGTGGTACAAACAATAATTGCTATACGATCTATAGGATGACTAAGCAATCTGAGACAATGAGTGGAAACCAACCTCACTGAAGAGAGTTAAGTGGTAGGTCTGGGGCAGAAGAGAACTGGGCTTGGGGCGCCGGGGTGCCTCAGTTGGTTAAGCATCTGACTTCAGCTCGGGTCATGATCTCATGGTTCATGAGTTCCAGCCCCACATTGGGCTCTCTGCTGTTATCACAGAGCCTGTTTCAGATCCTCTGTTTCCTCCTCTCTCTGCCCCTCACCATCTCTCTTTCAAAACTAAGTGACCATTAAAAAAAAAAAAAGTGACCTAGGCTCATAACTACTTGAAATATGAAAGAACTACATTTGACCCTATACTTCAGGAACCACTTTAAATTACTGAATATTCTGCTTAGGATGTACTAGGCACTTAGGCACTTCGAATTATCCTATTTAATTTTCATATAACGCTATAAAAGCCAGATACTAATGTCTTCATTTTAACAATGAAGACACAAAGGTACTGAGAAATTGTGTCTGGAATGAAGCCAGTCCACCTGAACTCAACCATGGTGGTAGACTATGCTATATATTCCTAGAGTTAGATA